CACCACACGATTTGTAAAAAACTAATGACGCTGTTCATTGTTTTTAACTAACTCTCTAACTAGCTTAAAGTTATGACCTTGCGTTCAACTCTGATTAAAATTTCTTGGATAAGAGAGCAAATTTACGTTACACCAATTTACAATATCAAAGCCATTTATTATTTTAAAACATTGTATTAGGTCGCCTCGAACTCTACGGTCAACAAAAGATTGAATACCCTTTATTTTTAATCTTTTTTTGTAATTCAATTTTCTGAGTGATGGAATTTAAACGAGTTGCTCGGTGTTGTACTTGTTCAATTATAATTAAGTCATTTTTATGGTAAGGGTTTCACGCCGGTATTGCGAATTCCAAATGAGGTCTCACAAATGCTGTAAACAATGTTTTGAGAAGTTTGCTATCCATATAGGTGAAAGTCCTGCTGAACATTCCAAGGATTTTATTTGCTTTATTTGATGCATGCATAACTTGACTATGATATTTCGTCTTACTAGATAAAATAACACCTAAATCCTTTTCATCGTTTGTACTGCATATACTAGTTATTTCATTTGCTATTGATGGAATTGTATAATTATGATGTTTGTTTGATTTGCCGAGATGCATTACTTTGCATTTTGACTCATTCAAGTAAAGAAGCCATGTTTGGGACCATTTGGCGATTTTATTTATGTCATTTTGTAATACATTTATATCGTTGATATTATTTATTTTTGCTAATAGTTTAGTATCGTCAGCATACAATTTACTTACACTTTTTAATAGTTCTGGCATATCATTAATATATATTATAAATAAAATAGGACCTAGAACGGATCCTTGCGGTACACCACTCCGAACCTTTTTCCATTCTAATGAAAATTTTGCCATTACCACTTTTTGTCGACGATTTTTTAAAAAAGATTCAAGCCACTTAAAAGTGTGACCTATAATTCCATAATTCAACAACTTGTGAATTAAATATCTATGCGGAACAACATCGATATATAATATATATATATATATATATATATATATATATATATATATATATATATATATATATATATATATATATATATATATATATATATATAAATATATATATTGATATTATTGTTATTTATTTATTCTTAGATTAACTTAACTAAAATAATAATTATAAATAAAATAAATTTCTAATTTTTTTTATTCATTAAATAAAATATTTTCCTTATGTTTTTTAGAAAAAGACTTGTTCTAACAGGTTATCCTCTTCAAAATAATCTAGTAGAATACTGGTGTATGGTTGACTTTGTCAGGCCTAATTATCTTGGATCACGACATGAGTTTTCAAATATGTTTGAGCGTCCAATAATGAATGGTCAATGCTTTGACAGCACAGAAAAGGTTTGTTTTGCTTTTTCATTTTATTTTTTGTTTTTGAAATTTAAGCATCTTGTATATTTTTCTATTTATCAGATATGATTCTATTTAAATTTTTACTTAAAAAGCACTTATATGCAAAAGTTTGCTGTCATCAACACTGTCTTGTAAAACCAGGCTGTGCTTGAACTATTGTTATTATTGTAAATGTCTTCTGTAATTTTATTTTAAACTTATTTTGGAATTTGAAAACTTGTTTTATTTCTAATTACTTTAAAATATATTTTATTTAAAGTTTAAAGAAAGTAATTTGTTTTTATAATTTCAATCCAGTATTTCAAATTAGGGGGAAGGGCAAAGTGCCATTACAGTTTCTTTTACTTCTTCCTCCGAAACACAGAGTTTGACAAAATGGCTGCTGCGCAGAGAAAAAAATGTTTCAATATAATGATACATTTTATCACTTGACAAAAGCAGCATTTATTACAAGCATGTCCCTAAAATTAGCTAGCATTAATAAATTGTAGCTTTATTATAATGAAAATATAATTCTATATAGCCTATATAATTTGTATATATTGTTAATATTTATACTTATGAATATATATCAGGGCTTGAATTAAGTGATCGCGAATTGCAGTATCCGGAAATATCTATTGTCATTAAATTCTTAGTTTTTTTAAAAACTGTAAACACTGTTTTAATGAAACGATCAGTTTATCATATTGCAAAAATTAATGAAAAATCAAAACAATAAATTTACTACTGCAAAAATAATAACAGTCAAAGTTTATATATTATTAGTTATTGTTTTTTTAAACAATAATTAATAATATGTAACTTAAAGATTATAAATAAAAAAAAGTTGCAAGACAAAAATTATTACTAAAGGTCCGAAAAACTTTCGTGGTAATTTAAAAATCAACTTATTAAAAACTTAAGCTATTTGCGCATTGTATAAAACTTTGTAGAAAAAAACAACCAATAAAAAAGTATGCTAAAGCTACTTGCGCATTATAAAAAATATTAAAATAGATTTTTATTTAGGAGGAAAGTTTATGGAATTTTTTATTTAAAAATTTAAATGTTTTGAATTAAATTAAATTATTTAATAAGAAAAAAAATTATAAAATATATATTTTTTTAATATGTTATTAGAGTTTCTTTTTTTTTTGTTTTAAAAAAACTATTAAAAAAATTAAATTAGTTTTTATATACTAACTCCTCCGACTTTTAATTTTATATTCGTATCAGCTAAAGTGTTACAAGCGTTAAATTTATAAGAAAATATTGAATGAGATTTAAATAACATATAAAAGTATTTTATATCTTAATTAACAATTTCTTTTATTTAAAATATTCGATCACTGTTAAAGTCCCTTATATTGTTGTGATTAGCGCTTATTTTTTTTAATATTTATATCGTACTTTATCGTGCTTTATTTTTCTAGTTTTATCTGATGATTTATAATAAATTAAAATATTAAAGTTTAAATTATAATCTTTAATAATAGTAAAAATAATAGTGATTTTACATTAAGATTTAATATCATAATCGACGTAAAAATTTTTTAAAAATGATATCTATTGAGTTTAGTGATCAAAACAGTTTTACGGTTTTTAAAAAGGTAAAATTTTAAAGACCGCAAGCATTTCCAGATATCGCAATTCGCGATCACTTAATTCGAGCCCTGTATATATATATATATATATATATATATATATATATATATATATATATATATATATATTATATATATATATATATATATATATATATATATATATATATATATATATATAAATATATATATTAGGGTGTCCCAAATTTATACTTTTTTTAAATTTCTATGTGCACACAATTTTTTCCCATTCTCTAGTGTCCCCTAATTGCAAATATATAAAAAAAAAACATTGTCAGACCATAATTTCAGCAATATGTAAAATTTCATTTTTTGTTAAAAACCAAAATTTTACACATTTTCCTAATAAAAATACTAAAGTGTGTCAAAAAATGTATATTTCAAGAATAATAAGTTATATTTTTTAACTGGGACTTGGAAAGATCTTTTTTAAGCTTCTTTCTATTGTCCCTGGCCACCACCATTAATTTTTGTTGCATATTGTCAGATTAATATCCACCTACAAAGTCCTGAATGAGCCGTATGTTTCTTTCAGCACAATCGTTGACGCAAGTCAAATTCTTAACAAATTTTTTGAATAAATCTAATGACTTAGGGGCTTTTTCCATCCTCCACAGCTCTACTTCACCATCAGGGACCTCTGCGATTTTAAACAGAAGCCAACTTTCTGGACCTACCAGTTCCCAAAACTCAGTGGACTCTGATATGATTGGTAGCTCAGGTTTTCCAATCTTGAACTTGTCAGAAACATCGAACTGAACTAATCTATCCAACATCTTTTTTTCACTTCCTGCTCTACATCATCATCAGCCAGAGATAGCAGCACCAACTGCTCAGTCAAGTACCAGGTTTATCTTTGCATACTAGCAACCAATGCTGAACCAAGATTGGGATATTTTTCTTTGATACAAAAAGCATTCTTAAAAGCTGCAAGATCATTTAAGTGTAAACTTGCAACCAAGTACGACTTTAGAAACCAAGGTGCATACCAGACAGATGGGAAAAAGGCTGCTGTCTCTATCATCTTTTTTTCCACTTCGCTCATAATCATTGTGATTTTATCGGTTATTCTCAGGGTAAGAATGTATAAAGCATCAGCCATAAACCTAAAGAGTAAGATTTTGTCACCATTAATATTTATTTATTATATTCTTTTATTTATATGTTATTTATTATACTTAACTTTTTTTCTTTTAATATACTGTACCTAGCTCCATGGCAGGCTCCAGGTTGATGAAAACACAGTCCAGGTACTTCTCCTCCCAAAAAGAAAACAAAAAGCTCGCATAGTTTCCTGTAATCATTCCTCACAAAAGTTTTTGAGGCAAGGGCCTCTTTTCCAAACTCCAGAGCTTTTTTAGCAATTTCATAAAGGGGTGACTCAACCTGAAGCTGACTCCAATCAAACCTAACTAGATCTATCATCTTGTCAACCTCTTTTTTGAAAAAACACCAATTATTCTGGAGTTTGTCATACAGCCCTTTTCTTGGGCCCTTCGTCTTCTCTCCAGTCAAAGCCTCCATAAAGTGTGAGATGTGTATTTCTAGCATATGTCTTCTACAGAGAAACCATATAAGTGGAATATTAAGAATGGAACTAAGGCTAACAACAGCTCCGGAGTGTATTCCAGTATTGGATGCAGTAGTATCACAGCAAACAGAAAATATTTGATCTACAATGTCATAGTATTCTAGCAAATTCAAAATTGCTTCAGCCTGGTCATTACCTTTAGAGCTTGGTGTCTGAACAACACCTAGCAGTATGTCATTTGTGTCATCCATATCAGGGGATGTAACACTAACCGCTATTCTTTCTACAGAAACAGTTAATTTTTAGATCTTCTTCAATCTGTTCTATCCTTTTTCCATCAAAATGAACACATAGCTTTTTTCTCTTCAGAGTAGTTATAATTTCTTGCCTGAGCTTATCTCCTAATATCTCAATTTTTTTGAATCTTTTTCTATGAACGATACTTCTTGATAGATTAATATCTTCTAGATTTACACGAGCTTTATTGCAAGTTGCAGCTACTAATAAAGTTTGTGGGCGTATACCTACTCTGAATCGGGCAGAAACTGCAGCAGTACAGTCTACCAGATCTTCAGCACTTATACTTATCATTATCTTAGATTTAGTAGAATGACTGAATCTATTAGGTAATTTTTCATCATCTGAAGAATCTAAACTAAGTTCCGATTCAGAATCATTTCCAGATGAATAAAAAGAAGCTTCAAGTTTGTTGGATTTTACTGCATTAATTGTGATACTACTTTTATCTCTAGCTTTCTCCATCCTCTTGAGCCAAATATTTTTATTTTTAACTGAATTTTGTAATACTTTATCCAACTCTTCTGTAATATACATGTTTCGGTCTCTTTTTTGATCTAGATAAACCCTAATATCTTCCTTTTTAGCATTCTCCAAACGAAAATGATCCTGATTTACTTTTTGTTCAAAATTTGCCAATGAAATATCAAAGAGTGTATTACTCTCCTCTAAAAACTCATTCTGTTTTTTAGAGAAGTTGCCATCGCTAGAGTTCCAATTCAATAATTTGAGATGATGCAGATTTATGTACTTACTATGGAGCTTCAGTATTTTATCTCTGACACTGGATCCACTGATGATAAAATCTTGAAACACTGCTTTCTTCCAAGCGTCTATTACAGCGGAGGCAACACATCTTTGTTCAGAATTCTTGCAGAAACTATCTTTGCAGATCAAATCCCTGTTCTCGTGCTTTTGAGGGCAGGCTACTATCGACTTTGTAGATTGAAATCTTATTGATCTAAAATAAAAATAGACAAGTATTTATCATTATGGTTTTTTTGTTCTCACATAAAATTTTTGCCTCATTGTGTCTCATTTTAAATGTTTGGGGGGAGATAAATTAGATTAAATATGTATTGCATAAAATAGATCATTTTTAAATTTTATCATTGTTTTATAGTATATTTATATATAAAATAATAATTATTTGTTCTACCTAGGAGATTTTAGAAACTGAATGAATATTTCCGATGGTTGCCAGCTGGTTTATTGGAAGCTCATTGATTGTGTACTTTAGAAGAAACAGCGGCCTTCTTGGATTTGTTGACATGCTGTACTTTCTCTTCTCAGCCTTTATTTTTTTGTTTTTTTGAGTACGACCCATTTTATTTAATACTTTTATTATTAGTTAATGCTAAAACAAATTTTTAAAAATTTATTCTAGTGTCCCCCTAAAAAAATTACATTTAACTATACAATTTTCAAGTAAATAAATGTATATTGAAGGTTTTCATAACTATTACGTAATTATATTTGAAAAAACAAGTTCATATTTAACTTCTAATTATTACTATAAGCGGTTAAAATCAAAAGAATAGACAAAATCCTGT